CCTCCCCTCCCCTCCCCTCCCCTTCCCAAACTCTACCCTGCCCAGACATTGCCCCCAAATCTCCAGGAATTTCCCAGGCCACAGTTGGCATCCTTATACCCAGTGGAGGCCATTTTATTTGGATTTTGTTTCTCCTTCTGTACATTTTTATCTTGCCCATCCTTTAATCAGCTCAGGACAGTGTTTTATGATATCTGGTTTGATTGCTTGTGTTTATTTTATTTTTGCTATATTGGGTTATGTAAACATAGCCTTGTATGCCTTGTAAACAGGTAGATTATGCATGGATTAAATAAATATTCTTTTTAAATTACACATTTTAAAGGGTATAACTCTGTTTAAGATTGCACTGTGTTAGACACATAAAAAGTAAGCGATAGTTTTGCTAGCTGAATTGCTAACTCACAAGTCAGAAATTGTACTTTCTAACAAGTCAAACATTTTGAGCCTCTTTCTGGTATGCCCGTACTTTAATAATGGCTGAGCTTTGTTGCAGTGTAATTTCTCTGAATTACTTTGTATACTGGAAATCAGATGTCAGGGGTGCCATACACTGTAGAAACTGCAGGGATAATGAATGGGAGGGATAATTTTCTTGGAGACCTTTTCTGAAATCTTAGTCACAGTGAAGTAGAAAAATGGAGGAAAGAAAGCAAAGTCTCTCAAGGCTATAATGCATTGCATAAGTCACATCACTCTTATAATGTACCAAACCAGTGAGCTCACTGTCTCCAGGCCTACAATCTTTTAATAGAGGCTTAACTGGATAGTATTTACCAGGTGATGTTATTTATTTATCTCCATGCCATGAAAAGCTTCTGCCGTCCATTTCATTTCTGCCCAGAAATGTACTATGAAAAAGACAGAAGATTTTCCCCCAGGCTTGTTGGTATGAGTAAATACAAAATCTTAATGCAAATATTCTTGACACTATTTTGGCTATGTTCCTGGAATGTTTTCTCTTTAAGGCATCTTAACGGAGCTGTGAAGTGGAAAAGCAGACTGAAAAGTCTTCATTTAGGAGCTTGAAAAATGAAGATTTTGTATTGTACCCATACTATTATCTACTGGCTTTGCCTATATTTATGAAATGGACTTTACATAAAGATGAATGTTGTCTGGTATAAGAAATTTGTATTATAAACATTATAAAAAGTATAACCAAGTGTGTTAAAGTTATAGAATAGTGGTTTTCTTCAGTGAGCTTATTTTTTCCCTATAGCCTCCAGGTGAGGGCTGGAGATCACCCAGAATTATAACTGTTGTTCAGGTGACAGAGGTCAGTTCCCCTAAAATGGCTGCTTTGGAGGGTTGAGTCTATAGCATTATGCCCTGCTGAGGCTGCTTCCCACCCCAAGCCTCACTGTCTGAAGGCTCCTGGCAGCCCCAAGGTGAATTGATCTCTTTAGCTGGGAGATGTGTTGTGATTCCTGGAGAGCTGTCACTGCTGCTGTGAGGGAAGAGGAAGCAGGTGGGTGTCTGGGAGTACCGCCACCACTGCTACTGCTGCTGTTGTGTGGAGTGGGGGAGAAAACAGACAGGAGGCTGGGAGAGTGATGGGGGCAGAAAGAGAGAGTGATGGGGTGGGGGTGGGGCAGAAAGAGAGAGAAAGAATGATGAGGTGGGGAGGCAGAAAAACAAAGAGAATTATGAGGGGTCAGAAAGAGAGAGGAAGTAATATGCATGGAGGAGAGATAAAGAAAGGGGGGGCAGAAGGAAGAAAGAGTGTGAGAGAGGTAGGGAGTGAGGGCAGGAAGCATAAGTGTGGGAAACCATCCCACAAGTTTCTTGTGGGTCTCCATTTGTATTGAAATGTAAATTGCTGATTTTTTTTCAGCAGTCTGAAAAAGCCCTTCAGTGGCATTGAGGAGGGAATAGCAGCTGTGGGGTGGGGTGAGGAAAGGAAAGTGCAGGGGAAACTGCTGTATGGATGTTCCATTGCCACTTTGAATGCCTCTGCATTTGCAGTGGTAATGAAAACTAGGGTCCTTTCTGCACTTGGATCTTATCCCTGGTTTTATCAGAGTTCAACTCGCGACACAAAACCATTTATCCCTGGTTATAACAGCATCCGTTTATCCCGGGACAAGTGTGGGGTGACCTCAATGTAATATGGACACAAGGAATACCCTGAGATAATTACAGGGGAGAACTCGAGTGTAGTGTAGAATGTAAGTTTGGGGACAGGGTTGAACCAGGATTTAAGGTCTAGTGCGGAATCACCCTAGATGGAGAATTGTTACTGTGTGAAAGCAGCCATTAGTAGGATAATCCATGCTGGAGAGAGAACTAAGTCTAAAAGGATCATGAGCCACAATTTAGAAAAGAGCAATGACAGAAGACTTGAAACACTGTCAAATGGATATTAGCGTTCTCTTTCGGGCAGAACAGTTAAATTTGAGTCTTGTAGCGCCTTAGACACCCATAAGATTTTTGGGGTGTAAGCTTTCAAGAGTCAAAGCTCCCTTCATCATATTCTTTATAACGCCTCTACCACTTTCTCACTGGGATATAAAGACTTCAAGATCTCTATTCCTACTCAGAGGGAGCTTTGACTCTCGAAGGGCTGTGCCCTGAAACTCGTGTTGGTCTCTAAGGTGTTCCTGGACTCGAATCTGACTCTTCTACTGCATGACATGACTACCTTTTGAAACTTCTTTCAGGAGGCTATCTATGATTGTAACAAATAAAAGATTGATTGAGTTCCTTTTATAATAAACATCTTTTCTTTTGGGATCCAAAATTGTCCCTGTGGGTCATCACTCCACATATTTACAAGCTGACTGCCCTAGTCAAGCTGTAAAGTTTAACATTAGGGTGGTCTAGCTCCTTATATAGAAGGGTTTGAATATACCCATGTCGAAGTCTTAACAGGTTCAATATATGCCATATCCTGAAGGGTACTGCAGAGGAAAAACAATTTCTAAGAAGCGACTGTGTACCTTTCCATTTAGTTGCCGGATGAACCGTATCCTGGAGTCTCCCAGAGGGAATGCATTGCTGGTTGGTGTGGGAGGAAGTGGTAAACAGAGCCTGACAAGATTAGCAGCTTTCATCAGCTCACTGGAGGTTTTCCAGATCACCCTGAGAAAAGGCTATGGGATTCCTGACCTGAAGGTGAGAGGCTCAGAGCTGAGTTGCCTCCTGAGAGACTTGTAATTCCTTGATTCTTCAATGTATTTCAGTTATTACATTCAGAAACATACCGGGTGCTTACAATGAATTGTCTTCCATTTTTCTTAGTTTACACAAGCTTCTAAAAGTCTTTTTTATGATACTCCATCCTTGGAAATTTAAATAGCAGTGATATAACTATATTTTCCTGAAGATCTCATCAAAATCTGCAGGCGGGCATATTGGTCCAGTTTTAATTAGAACTATGTGTGTGTGTGTGTGTGTTAAATGCCATCAAGTCAATTCTGACTTCAGGCACCCCTATGAATCGATGACCTCCAAAACATCCTATTGTTAGCAGCCTTGCTCAGGTCTTGCAAACTGAGGGCTGCGACTTCCTTTATTAAGTCAGCCCATCTCGTGTTGGGTCTTCCTTTTTTCTTGCTGCTGTCAACTTTTCCTAGTGTTATTGTCTTTTCCAGTGACTTGTGTCTTCTCTTAATGGGACCAAATCAACTTTCTTCCTGTCAGCTTTCTTCATGGTCCAATTTTCACACCCATGCGTAGTAATGGGGAATACTATGGTATGAATTATACTGATCTTGGTATTTAGAACCAGGGGTCATTTCCTGCAGGAGCGCACAGGAATGAAGCTCCAGCAGTAAAGAGCCCAGGGGGCGGGCACATGCAACAAGCCCCGCCCCCTGCTCCCAGCAGCCCCGAGCCATGAGGAGCAAGAAGCAGCCAAGTAAGTTGCAGTGAGTGTTGCCTTCTGGCACACTTCCGGTGATGTCAGGGGGTGTGGCATATGCAAATGAGTTATCCTAATGAGTTATGCTAATGAGCTCCTGCACCTCTTTTTCTAAGAAATGACCCCTGTTTAGAACTGTACTATTTATTTATTTATTTTATTAATTGCATTTATACCCCACCCTCCCTGCAATGCAGGCTCAGGGCGGCTCACAGTCAGTACATAAAATACAATTAAAACCACATAAAACCATATAAAACAATTCCATTATTAATACAGTTTCATAAACTGCAGAAGATAGTTACTCAAGATGGCTTATTTCAAAATACTCTCTAAAGATCCTTCTGCTGCAGATCTTCCTGTGGCTGGATGTTAAAACCAAGAGCCAGGGCTCTATAATGGTGGCGGCACCCTAGCTGAAAGACTGGTGGAAGAGCTCCATCCTGCAGGCCCTGCGGAACTGCAAAAGGTCCCACAGGGCCCCAGGAGCTCGTTCCACCAGGATGGGGCCGCGACTGAGAAAGCTCTGGCCCTGGTAGTCGCAAGCCTGGCCTATTTTGGGGCAGGGACGGTCAATTGATTTTGAGACCTCGACCGAAGTGCTCTCTGGGGTATATATGGGACCCTTCCCATATAGGGCTTTAAAGGTAAGAACCAGCACCTTGAAGTGGATTCGGTATGCTATTGGCAGCCAGTGCAGTTGCCGCAGCACAGGCTGGATGTGCTCCCACTTGGGGAGCCCCATCAAAACACTGGCTGCAGCATTCTGGCGCTTCCAGATCCGCGACACAGGCAGCCCCATGTAGAGAGTGTTCCAGTAGTCTAGTCTTGAGGTGACCATAGCATGGATCACTGCTGCTAGGTTGGCGCGATCGAGGAAGGGAACCAACTGCCTGATCAGCCAAAGATGGTAAAAGGCCGACCTGGCAGTGGCCGCTACCTGGGCCTCCATCGCTAGGGAGGCATCTAGGAGCACTCCCAAACTCCTAACCTCCGGTGCTAGCACCAATGGTGCCCTGTCGAAGGTCGGGAGTGGGAACCCCACCCCCCAACCTCTCTGACTCAAGCACAGGGCCTCCGTCTTTGTCGGGTTCAGTTTCAGCCAACTCAGCCTAAGCCAACCAGCCACAGCTTGTAGTGCCCAGTCCAGGTCTTCAGGTCTGGAGTCAGACCGGCTGCCCAACATCAGATAGAGCTGGGTGTCATCAGTGTACTGGTGACATCCCAGCCCGTGCCTCTGGGCAATCTGGGCAAGGGGGCGCATATAGATGTTAAATAACATCGGGGAGAGCACTGCCCCTTGAGGCACTCCACAGTCCAGTGGATGCCTCTTGGACTGCTGTTCCCCTAGCGCACCCTTTGTCCCTGACCTTGGAGAAAGGAAGCGAGCCATTGTAAGGCAAGCCCCTGAATTCCTATGTCGGCGAGGCGGCAGGCCAGTAGCTGATGGTCGACCATGTCGAACACTGACCACAGGTCCAGCAACATCAGCACCGCCGATCTGCCTCGATCCAGATGCCTTTGGAGGTCATCCGTGTGGGCAACCAGTGCCATCTCCGTCCCATGACCAGGGCGAAAGCCGGACTGGAAGGGGTCTAAGATGGAAGCGTCATCCAAAAAGCTCTGTAGCTGACTCGTTACCGCCCTCTCTATTAATTTGCCAAACAGGCCCAAATAGGGCAAATTGGAAACCGAGCAATACTATCTTGGAATGCTGTGTATTAGCAGTAGGGGGAGGGTTGCTTGTTTAAAAGTCAGAGTTTTCCTGCATGTTGCATGCTGGCCTATCAGAGATATGGGACAACCTCAGAATGCATAGGCTGGACAACATTTTTTGGGGCAAAGCCTGACATACTAAGCTTTTCACACACAGGGAGTCTTTCATGTCAGCCCCCCCCCTCCCCAAGCTGTCCTGCACATACATTCTAAGGTCAAGGACCTTCAGGTCAAGACTGTGGTATACGGAAGAGAGGAGGT